ACATTGTTTCACAGCAGCATCACATACGAGCCCTATAGCTCTGATCTACACTCATCACATGTCACCTGCACCTTTTGTTCATCCACATTGATTTACACCATCAGGTCCCATCAATTTTTCTATGGAAGATAGCCAGATCTATCCAGCTAATGTCTATAATTTCGGGCCACAAACGGGCTCTAATAAGTATCCTTACAAACCATAATACCCTATTTAGGGAGGTCTTAAATGTCATTTTATTAAGTAAACTTAAACTTGCCACAAAAAAAAAATAATAAATAAATAAAATTGACCCTCGAATCCCAAGTGTTAGATGTCCTTTAACAATTAATTTTTAATATATCAATTGGATTTAGTAGCCATGCCAATGTTATAGGTCGCTAGTCGATATTTGGGCCGACCCATGGTCTGATATGCGCCCAGTAAAATAGGGTCAACCCATGGTCTGATGACCGGCCCGGTAATCTAGGACCTCACTTTCAGAACGAATGCTTCCCTCACTAATTTTGTTGTTTGAAACTCTTCACTCACCAACCGGAAAATCAATATAGAAAAAGCCAATCATTTAAACCACCAAGTTGAGCTTGAGACTCAAAATAATTAGGAAAAAATATATTCATACTTTTTGAAGTTTGTCACTTAATCACTCAGACCTTATAATACTTAAAATATTACAAACAGACTTTTTGAGGTTTGTACGCACATAACACTTAGACTTCTATCATCGATGTCCGTTAGTATATCCGTTTAATAAATTACACTCAGACTCTTCTAAAGTTTATAAGCGTGTAATATTTAATACTCCTCAAGTTTAAAATGTTATATTTAGATAAAAAATTCTCCAATTAAAAATAGAATATCAAATATTTTAAATTTTATAATCAAAATTTATATTTATATTTTAAATTTTGCTATAAAAATTTATGTTTTATTATTACATTTATTGAAATAAAATTAAAAATAAAAATCTAATTTTTTCTTAAAAAATTATAATTAATATACAATTATACTATCTATTGATATTTAATTTGGTCGTTTAAACAAACAAATTAAACTACCAAATTATCTCAATTAAACATAAAAGATATTGTGTACATTACAGTTTAACCCTTTATTTTGATTTTTTATTTTTATTCCAATAGATAATATAATTGTATACCAATTATGATTTTTAATTTTATTTTAATAAATAATATAATAGAACATTAATTTTAGTTGTAAAATTCATGTTTTATTATGAATGATTTAGATCCATTATTTAATTTTTTTTTAGTTTTATTTGAGTAGATAATGTAATTGTGTACCAATTACAATTTTTTAAGAAAAAATTAAATTTTTATTTTTTGATTTTATTTCAATAAATGATACAATAAAATATAAATTTTTGTGATAAAATTTAAAATATTTGATATTTTATTTTTGATTGTAGTATTTTTTTATCTAAGTATAATATTTTAGATTTTAGGGGTCTAAATATTATGCAATTACAAAATTCAGAGAGTTTGAGTGTAATTTACGAACAACAGAGATTTAAATATTACGAGTGTACAACCCTTAAGTAGTTTGAGTTAGAGCTGTCAAAATTCGACACGACACGATTAATCGACACAAATCGATAAGAATTAAATGAGTTTGAATGAGATCTTAACGGGTTTGGGTGATAAACGGGTTGACACACAAAACACGTTTAATAAACGGGTCATGTTCGGGTGAGACTTGTCAAACCGTTTATCATACGTTTACCTATTTAAATAAAATTAATATAATAATAAATTAATAATTATTTTAATAAATTAGCAAGAAAAAAAAAGAAATCAATAAAAAGAAAAAAAAGTAAAGTAATATTTTAAAGACAAAAGAGAGGAGATGAAGAGCGCTTCAAAGACAAAAGCAAGCTAATGCCTTTTGCTTTTGTCTCACATTGGAAAATGAGGGGAAAGGAGAAGGATTGAGTTGTCTATAAAAGGTAATGACCTTTGTTTTTTTTGAGTTGTCTATGTTCGGGTGAGACCTGTCAAACCATTTATCACACGTTTACCTATTTAAATAAAATTAATATAATAATAAATTAATAATTATTTTAATAAATTAGCAAGAAAAAAAAATCAATAAAAAGAAAAAAAGTAAAGTAGTATTTTAAAGACAAAAGAGAGGAGATGAAGAGCGTTTCAAAGACAAAAGCAATTGGAAAATGATGGGAGATGAGAAGGATTGAATTGTCTATAAAAGGTAATGACATTTTTTTTTTAAGCCTTCAAGTCTTATTTTTATGAGATTTAACTAAAAATTTCTCTTTTTTGAGATAAGTTCAATTGACAATAAAAAAAAGTGGAGTATTAAAATTTGTTAATATAATTTTTTAAAATTAAATGGGTTAAATGAGTCGTGTCATGTTACCCGTTTATTAAATGTGTTATGTTCGTGCTGAAATTTTTTATCCGTTTATTAAACGTGTTGTGTACGTGTTTATATATTTTGTACCCGTCACCCATTTAACCTGATATGTAATCATTTAACCCAACACATTTGACAGTCCTAGTTAAGGTGATTAAATGGTAATTTTTAAAATGTCACGATGTAATCCTCCCAAATAATTAAAGTAACAATTAATTATGTACGCCAACTCGAGCCACGTCCTTCAGACCTCAACCACATCAATTTTTCTTAAATTTTTTTATTCAAAACACTTCACACTCCATCTTTAAAATTAAAACCAATGAAGGTGACATTTCATCCGCTGCGTCTTTAGATGGTCTCATGATATACGTACGATCGGATTCCGCTTTCATTTTATATTTGGACAGTGTAAATATTAAATTGAGTTAAAATTTAATTTTACCAAGCTCGGATTGTAAATTTTTAATTGTGACAGACTAATCGATCGGCACAAACCTAACTAATAGAAAATAAGAAAGCTTCTAACGAATTATACAAAGTTCACTATGAAATCTGATAAAAGTTTACAACGCAAAAAAAAGAATTGAATGAAGAAAAAAAACTGATAATAGAGAAATTGACACAAGATGAAAAGAATATTTAGTCTAAGTCCAACTCAACTTGGCAAGAATTCTAATTTGAATAAGACGCTATCTCTTAGCTCCTAGCTTTTTGCTTATTAACTCGCAATTTGGTAGAGTCCAATCTTCTCACGAGTTGAGACGCGGATGAAAAACCCTTATTTACTATGTCATTGATAGTGTGCATATTCAAATGATGGATAAAAATTTTATGACCTAACCCACTAACCGTAAAAGGAAAATACAGGATATAATTCGGATAAGACAATTAAATTCTTAATTTTATATTCTTCCTCTCAAGTGTCTTTTCTTGATTTAGGCAGGGCCAATCTCCGGAGCTCCCTTGAATCTCTAATTTCTTCTTCAAGTGATCAAAGGCGGACAAATCGATGGGGGAGGTCATGCTAGATTTTTATATAAACAGTTCACGACATTTTTGGCCCACAAAATTTCCTCGAAACAAATGGATTTCTACGTTTGGCCTCTCTCCACGTACCCCCCAATCTCATCACATTTGCTTGGTCATACCAACGCCACAGTCCAACTTTGATTTGGCATTCTCTAATCAACCTAACAGCTGGTGGTGGTGTTGGGCGGTGGGTGGGGATGGTTGGGGTTGGGTGGTGGTGAAATGATGATAGTAAAATAAAAATAATAAATAAATAAAATATGTATAAAAATGAGATAATGCTCAAGATTTTTAAATAACCTCTTTCATTAAAAGGCTATAAACTTTTAATCTTAAAATTGTTTATGTTAGGCCTGAAGCCTAAAAAGTGCCGCGGACCTGTGGCCCCTTTTCTCCTGTTAGTTTCACATTTTCATAATGTTCAACATTGATTTCAAATTTAATAAAAAATTATTTTATTTTGCCCTTCATCTATGTGTTCTCTTTTATTTTGCTCTCAACACGTTGATAATTGCCTAAAGACAATAGACATTTGTGTTTGGGTTAATGTGAAATAAATTCAAGTAATTAAGGGGGATAACGCAAAAAAATTAATAGTTTAAATGGCAAAGTGAATTGAGTTTATAATAAAGAGAGTCAAAATATAATTAGCCCTAGATGGAAAAAAAAGAGGAAGAATGAAACAAGATAAATCAAATAGTATTTCTTAAATAAGGGTGATAACAACTCGAAATTAATACGAAATTAGGAAGTATGGTTGACTATATTTCGACACGAACTCATAAATGACAAGATCTACTACCACAAATAATAAATGTGTTAGATTTGTGTCAAATACAAATAATATAAATTGACACGATTAAAACGTTTAATTAATATTATAAGAATAAAATAATTGTTATTTTTTCTCAAACATCAACATAATCCTTATACAAAAAAATATATATATATATTTTACTTATTTTTATTATTATATTTATTAAATTAATTTTTAGTTTTTTAAAAATATACGAGTGTGAATTTAATTTGAAGATAATATATTATTAGACTTAAATCTTAATATTAAATTTTTTATTTACTAGTTATATAGATCAAAATAAATACGATCTCAAAATTAAATAAGACGGACTAACTCAACATAATTAATTAAATAAATTAAATTTGTTTGATTAATGCTTGAACCATAAAAGCCTCGAGACCAATTGCCACGTGCCACCCATATATTCTTAAATGATTCAACTGGCCAATTGCAAGTTGATTGACATACGATCACCAAGCGGCAGCGCGCGCAAATACTGTGCCCCCACTGAACAAACTGCATATCCACACGAGTCGGCAACAATTAAAATTATAAACTCACCTTCAACAACCGCTCAGTGTGTGGTGTTTCTACCGATCAAATTTTAGGGTTAAATACCAAATAAAGAAATATTTATTACTCTAACGTTATTTGAGCTCTAAATTCAATCACAAAATTTAGCAGCGGTGTGTGCGTGTACATATATATGTATGTATGTATGTAGGAGTGGAGACAGATCTAGAGGGCTTTGATTTGAGTGTACAGGGAAGAGAAAATGGGCGTGGAGTGGTGGAAGAGTGCGAGGGAGCTGAGACCACTGGTTCATCTATTGTTGCCGCTATGTGTGCACTGGATAGCCGAAGAGATGACTGTTTCGGTGCTCGTAGATGTCACTACAGGAGCTCTTTGTGACGGCGAGTCCACTTGTTCTGAAGCTATTTACATCAATGGTCTTCAGCAAACGGTGCTCTCTCTCCCTCTCTCTTAAAATCTGTTTGTCTTTGTTATATCTAACGATGGTCAGTCTATTAAATGTTCTCGTCTCCAAAAATCATAAACTTTCTTTCTTTCTCTCTCTCGGTGTATCGTTGGCTTGTGTTTTGGCCTCTGAGAAAATGGAAGAAAATTTTGAGAATTTGTCTTTCTCTATGGTTTTTTTGGCTTCCTAAATGATGAAGTTTAAATGATTAAACCAAGCCAAATTCACCATTGATGTGGGTTTATTAATTTTTTTCATAAAATAAAAAAAAAAATCCTTTGTTTGGATGGGTTAATTATTGATGTTGAAAAAAATATATCTCATAATCTGATCAAAAGCTTTCAAATTCTTAAAATTTTGATGGGTTTATTAATTATAATGAAAAGTGTAAAATTCATGTTCTAATGAAACGGCTTCTTTTCTTCATGTAAGTTATTTATGGTCAAAAGCTTTCAAAATTTCAACTTACATGCTGCTTGTTTCCAGAAATTTAGATGGCCAAGAAGCTTTCGTAGTGTATCCTTGCCATTTTCCATTTGTAAGATGTTGCCTTTTTGACAGTATCCCATTATTTAATACTATATATCAAATTAACTTCAATTTGAGCCGTAAGCTGTTGCATTCTATCTGATGTTTTGTTTAGTTGTTTAAGCAATTGTTTTTATGAACTGCTAATTAATGATGGAGGAAAGCGGCCAATTTTAGTACTCCCTCCGTTCCTATTATTCTTTTTGAAATCTTCTACAAGGATCCTCGCTGTCGAACTTTTTTCGGAATCTCGTTTAGTCAGGACAGTTGTCAGTGCCTTTGATTTGGGCAAATTAGATCTAGACCTCCTGCATTATGCCCATCGTTCCACATTATCCGCTCAACTATCGGCTTTCTCACAGTGCACATTTAATTATTATTTCAGTTTACACTGCACCAGTCGTTAACTTCTGTCAAACTTTTCCATGTAATTCGAAGAAAAACTGAAATTCTGCTGTATTTAGGGATATGGCCTTTCCATCCCTAGCTAGCTAAATTGCTATATTTTCCCCCGACCTGCTATGAAAAATTGGGGAAAAGTTGACGATCAGGGGTAATGTGACACTTAATCAGTAGTTTAAGGTTCAATAGGAGAAAATGATACTTCATGAAATGTGGGCATAGTTCGGCGGGGCTAAGTGTAATTTTCTCATAAAATGTCGTATAAAGTTACGGAACCGGGACAGAAACTGGGTGGTTTTGATAAGGGAATCATTAAAAAATGCTACCTTATCCGTTATAGGTGGCCATCAAAACGTTATAGGTGGCCATCAAAATGTGGACTTCTTGTCTTCTTATAAGGTCAAGTTGAGTTTGCCTTGATTGGATTGAGTATGAGTGTGGCTAAACAGTGAGGAGATGGGAAAAGAAAAAGCTATGACTGCTGAAAAAGGAAGTTTCCATTATCAAACTTGTTGGTGGACCCTACTGATGCACTACTTGTTTTTTAGTAGGGATTGTTGTTTGTTTGGAAGCATGAACTTCACCTTTTTTCTGTTGGATTTTTAATTTGGCAGATAAACAATATTAGACTATTAATCCATCAATTTTATCATCAGGTTATGTGGACTATATTAATTATGATGCAGGGCATAATACATTTAATCCCTCTATTTTGTAAAGTATCCCTTTTGTTCCTTAGTGCCAAATGGTCTTGTGTTGTATTAGTACTGCTGTTCCTTTCTGGCATTAGCCTATTATTGTGGCACTTCTGATTGTCCTTATCTACCTCAGTGCCTTTGATATTTTGTTTTAGAAAATTACACTTAGGCCCCACTAGACTCTGTCCTCATGTAAGGGCAATAAGGCCTCGGCTTTAGGCCCCATAATTTGTAATTGTAACCACTAGTTCAAATAAAAAATTCAATTTTATAAAAACGTAACCCCAACAAAAAATTCAAAGTCTAAGTACAATCCAAAAAATTTAAATTGGATAGTTTGGATTTGTTTCTCCAGCTCATGACACCTAAAAACCATAAAAGAAATTAAAAAAGAAGATAAAAAGTAATAGGAAAAAGGTCAACTCAAGAGTCGTTACCTTTCTATCACACTTTTTAACGTTCTTCTGCCAACCACTCATTCCTTATCTCTCATTGTCTACTGGGGTCCCCCCCCCTCTCTCTCTCACTTACAATTTGCCTTTGGCCCTTTGCTTGTTTGTTGTTTTTATACATGACAAAATCCGCAATACACCACAATATATTTGGTTTGTTATTTAATTTAAAGAAACTAAAATCATTATGCGATGGTAGTTTAAAAAAATATTGCCTTGATCTTTAGCGTTTCTTAACCTTAGATTTGTTTTCAGAATTAAATGTTCTAAAGAAAATTTTACTTACGGAAGAGAGTACTCCAATTAAAATATTAAGTAATTTTTTTTTTTCAAATGCATGCATTGTTTACAGAATATTATTGACAATTCTTATAACTATAGTTTCCGCAGAAAGAAGTTTTTCAAAACTAAAATTGATAAACTCTTATGTAAGATCAATTATGTCACAAGACGAGATTAAGTGGATTAGCAATACTATCAATCGAAAAAGATATGCCAGCATAATTTGAATATAAAAACTTATTTAGTACTTTTGCTTCTCAAAAAACAAGAAGGATAAATTTTAAATAAAATATTATTATTAAAAATAAAAAGTCTCTTTTTTAGTTGATGTGTTAGGCCCCAAAATATCACAGGCTGCCCCAGACTATGCCCCTCATGCCACATTGTCTTCTAAACTATACCCTTGTTCACCTTATAGGTCAAACCATATTTAGTTTGAGTTTTTCATATTGCCCAATTGTTGGCTTCTGTTTGTGAAATTGAAAAGAGGAAGCAAAAGAAAAAAAACCAACATTCGGAAAAACCATGAATTATTTAAGATAACCTGGACAAATGAGAAATGAGATAAACAACAGGCACTAGGGATGATTATTTTGGCTGTGTCTTCTAATTAAAAAGGGAAGGACTAGAAGGAAATTGGTTGCTGTGATAACTTGGTGCGAATGGGAATACACTGAGTGCACCAAGATTTGAAAACACAAGTCGATGGCAAATATGGCATGACAATGTTGATGTTAGTGTTGACTGTGATTGATTTTATCAGTTTCCTTTTGATTGTATAATATCTGTATTCAAACAAGCTAAGGCATAGCTTTGCTCTTGTAGATTGTTGGAATTTTCAAGATGGTTGTACTTCCGGTTCTAGGCCAACTTGCAGATGAATATGGTCGAAAACCATTGCTCCTCCTCACTGTATCTACGACGATAGTTCCTTTTGGTATGTGATCAGTGAAGATCTGTATTTTGTATGAAAATTTGTACTCAAAAGCATCTGACTGCACTTTCCCCGTGGATATTTATTAATGAATTTACTAATGTTTCAATAGCACTTGAAGAAAACAATACTGGCCTGAGCTTCGTTAAGCTTATGCTTATTACATTTTTCACTTGCAGCCCATGCAAAATAAGTGGTTCCTAAACTAAAATATTAATGGACAACTGAACAAACAAGCTCAACTTAGAAGGTGCACCATAGACAGCTCATAGTTGCAATTTGCAAACAGACACAAATTTAGGTGAACAATTTTCCAAGTATTAAGAGATATTAAATGAATAAGGGTTTGTTGATTTGTTGAGTTTAAGATATATTGAATGAATTCTGTGTATGACCCTTAATAAAGCATAATGGTAAAACATAATTCATGTAGGCGTGAGTTGAGTGAACTCTATTTTGCATGTGCTCTTATTATGAGTAATCTGATCCCAATGACAATATAGGTGAGTGAAACCTAGAAAAAATGGCAGATGCAATAGGCCAGATAACCAGACTTTTCCTCTGCAACTAAAAATTGACCTTCTTTTAACAAACATTTGACAAGTTAGTTTCGTTACATTACAGTTAAGCATGTGCTATTTTTTTTTTTTTTGGTTTCTCTGAAGCACCTGAGGTCAATGAACTAAGATTAATAGGCAAAGAATCTCTGCCATAAAATTTCCAATGTAAATGGTAATGCTATCAATGTTGGTGGTGATTTATTAGTTGCAGAAAGTAATGACACTGTTATCACTACTCTATATATTATGATGTCCCTCTAACCACAAGTATTGGCAAGTTTACTTTGTTTAGGTTCTATCTTTTTCTCTTTTTTTTTTTTTAAAGTTTTTACATATATATTTATTTGTGTTTTTTAACTTCCAGCTTTACTTGCCATCAACGAGTCGAAGGGATTTGTGTATGCATATTATGTGCTTCGTACAATTTCATATATTATAAGTCAAGGGAGTATTTTCTGCATTGCTGTTGCTTATACGGTAAGACTCTTCAGTCAATGCCATCAAATAAAATCATGGCTAGCAGTTTAATAAGGGCACAATTTTCCACCCTCTTGCAGGCAGATGTTCTTGATGGCAGTAAGAGGGTTGCAGCTTTTAGTTGGATCACAGGCCTTTTTTCTGCATCGCATGTCTTGGGAAATGTCCTAGCACGTTTTCTTCCTGAAAATTACATTTTCGAGGCATGTAGTTGTTGTACATCAGTGTTTTCGACACTAATTATGTACATTGTTCCTGATGTGTTACTCCTAATGAGCCTGATTTTTCAGGTTTCAAGTGCTCTCTTGATCTTTTGTTCAGCTTACATGGCATTGTTTCTGGTGGAGACAGTTGAGCCAACTCCGAAACAGGACCTACATTCATCATGCGTGAATAAGGCATTTAATATTGTTCGGGAACGATATAAGTCAATGAGGGGTGCCGTAACTATTGTTATTAGCAGGTAATTTTGTAAGTAGAATTCTGACATTTTGTGGTTATTTACAAGCACTCATATTATTTTTGTTTTTGTATAGAATTTTGCATCTGGAGAATATGAGATTGTTTGCATTCTAAAAAGCTTTTATGGTATTTCTCAGTCAAACACTGAGGAGCATTTCACTCGTCTCTTTCTTCTATGAATTGGGAATGTCTGGGATCAGCAATGTCTTATTGGTATGCTAACCAACATCCATTAATCTGATGGACTGAAATCTTGATATTTTTTGATGAAATTTGTTAAGTCGCTATATGGACACCCCTATGAAACTCAAATGGTCCCTTCTCCATCGAATAAAATAAAGATTCAATCTTATGGTGCTTAACAACCGTAAGCCCATTATCTTTCAGTAAAATAGATTTAGTTTGCTGTAAACTAACATAAACGGATCAGCCTCCGGTGTTTCATAATTGGCCTAGAAAGTTTTTGCATTTCCTGTAAAAAAACTAATTTTCTTCTAATAACTGGTTCAGATTTTGTCTCAAAAAGTTGGTTGTGTGAACTTTATAAAGCAATCTTGGGGAAAAATAATAGAGGAATTCTTGCTATGGGGGAAAGAAAATTGGCCACATTTTGCTAAGAACACCAGGGCATTTCTTTCCTTCTCTGGTGCACCGAACAATTGCAGCTTGATACCTGTGATTGCATGATAGTATGATGTGAAACTTACATTTGTTTCTATTGGCATCCACAGTACTATCTGAAGGCAGCTTTTGGTTTCAATAAAAATCAATTTTCCGAAATCCAGACAATGGTGGGAATTGGTTCAATTGTTTCACAGGTAATATTTTCACTCTCTTTGACCCTGTTATTTGCTTTGAATATCCTGAAAGGTTTGTTTGTACCTTGGTGCTGAATATTTGACTTACCGCATATCAAGGTCAGTTTAACAATCGTAGCAGCACTATAAAGATAATTCTTCTATTATCTCAGTCACCTGTTGCAGTATTTATTCTGTTCTGGAACATTTAACTTTTGCACCATGTTTGATTATCTGCCATTTTGACCTGGATGGTTGGACAAATAAGATTCCATTGTTTTCCTTAGGAACCCAACAGATGACCAAGCCTTTGAGGCACTCTAGATAAAAAATGCCAATGTAATTAGTCCTTAATCACTGTTAGACACTTAAAAATACTTGATCTAATTAGTCCTTAGGAACCCAACAGACGACCAAGCCTTTGAGGCACTCAAGATAGAAAATGGCTATGTCATTAGTCCTTAATAACTGTTAGACACTTAAATACATGAGGAGGCAATATGAATTTTATTACTTTTTCCCCTTGATGCAGATTCGCACATCCTGTGTACATATACCTATTGCCTCCTCAATCATCCCTATATTTGGGCCCCGGAATATCTAACCTGCTTAAGCATTTGTCTTCCTTATATAAAATGTTCGCTAAAACCTCTGAAGTTTGTCCACTTATAATTTGACTGACTTTGTGTGTTGCTTCAAGATGGTGGTGCTTCCACTAGCAAATCCCTTTGTTGGAGAGAAAGTGATATTGTGCATAGCGTTACTTGGATCAATAGTTTACGTAAGTCGTCCTTGATTAGTCAATATGAACTCCTGGTCGTCCGGCTTGATTTAAGCAAATTTGCATTGCATTTGAAGGCATTTAGTCTCATACGGTGTTTTTCATGTACAGGCATTGCTATATGGCTTGGCATGGGCTCCTTGGGTATGTACACTCATCTATTTTGACATACAAAACTTCTATAACTTTAAAAATGGGAGAGTTTTGCTGTTGAGGCTTCAAGTTCATAGAGCTTGACATTTTCTATGCTAAAGTGGTTATTTAATGAACTGAAATAAAACTGGCGAACAACTTAATCTCAATTAAACCAACTAAAATAGACATCCCCTACTGCAATAATATTTGTGGATCCTTACTTTGTCGTAATTTTTGCCTCATCCTGTTAGCAATGACATTGGAAGTTAGAATGTGCCCCTTATTAACCATGTGAAGAGAGAGATCAAAATAGCATCACCTCTTTGCTTCGTTTTTTTTTATCCATCCTATCTGAGTTGTAAGAATGTACCTAGCATAGATTGGTTAATAGTGAGCACTAAGGCTTCATAATTTCAGTATTTGAAGGTTGTGAAAAGAGCAGAATGTTATTGACTGCATGTCATTGCCAACACAGGTGCCATACTTGAGCGCTTCATTTGGAGTTGTCTATGTCCTTGTGAAACCTTCAGTAAGTACTATTTCCTAGTAATGATTTTTCTCAATGTATATTATCCACTGTAGTAATGTATTTTTCCCTGTTGATTTTCATGTATGACAGACATATGCTATTATATCAAAAGCATCAAGCTCAAGTGATCAGGTTGGTCAGTGAATATGGTATCATTACGCTTATGTTTTATGATTTTTTATTCCCGAGTTTGCTACATTCTAGAGCCTGAAAGTTTAGGCAAGGCATGAAGAAATAACCACTGGTAAGCTGAGATGCTTCATGAACAGATTCAAGCCATAATACTACATGCATGAAGAAAACCCCTATTTCTCCTCTTGGGAGAGTTCTACAAGAGAAGAAATTTCACTCTTTGATATTGTTTTCCTTCAGTCACCTATACTCGTTCAAGGTTCATCTTAATGTGATTTGAAGAGGAAATTGTCACAAGATTGAGATAGATATGTTTGAATTTTAATTCAAAAAAGTAGTGCAATAAGAAGCCCAGATTTCCAACTATGGTCATATGTTCTATCTTCATTGTCTATTTGTCGATTTTACTCATTTAATTCAATTTTTAGTTGGGACTGTGGACCATGACTGATGCAAAATGTGTACACTGTAACAAACTTTCATTGTCTAGTTTGTGTTCGATTTAGCTCCTAGTTAGATTCACAATGTCAGTTTGTCTGATATCAGGTTGCTGAACTGTGGAGCCAACTGTTTGATAAGTTGAACGTACATAAAGAGCCTTAAGTTCAGTTTTCGCTTTTCTAAGTGATGAAAATTTAGGAAATTTTCATTTTTTTTCAATCGCTCCTATGTTACACGTTTTCAGTGCCTTCCAAGTTCAATCAATTCGTCCATTATCCTATGAGTTTGATTCCTATGCCAGGGCAAAGCGCAAGGATTTATTGCTGGTGTGCAATCAATTGCAAGTTTGTTGTCGCCACTTGGAATGAGTCCATTGACATGTGAGTCGGTTACTCTTTCTGTTCCGCGTGAATATTAGACCCACTTTGGTAAATTGCTTAACTGTGAACCAATGTTGGTCCAGCTTGGTTTCTTTCTAGCGATGCACCTTTCAACTGCAAAGGTTTCAGTATTATATGTGCATCCTTATGCATGGTAAGCTGTTATCCTCTGTCTCTCTCTGTCTCTGTCTCTTTCTCTCTCTCTCTCATGATCTTGCTGCAAATGCTCAACTGTCTCAGGCGATTTCTTTGTGTTTTGCTTGGATGCTAAAACCAGAAGCAAAAGCGAACAATAACTTGGGGGACAATGGAGAAGACATTGAAGCACCTCTTTTATCATAACAGTTGATTGGATGCTATTAGTGTTGGGAAATTGGGTTTGAGCAGATTAAAAATAAAAAATAATCAAGACCTTGAGGCGCGTAAGATCGCTTTCTTTAAAGTGATATCTTTCCCTTACTAAAAGAGTTTGTTAGAAGGTACTTGTAAATCACTTTCAGGATACAACAAAGTCTTTGGGTGAAGAATTGCAATTAGTAATATTGAAGAACTTCTAAAAAAATCAATTTGAACAGTTTTTATTCTGAGAGAGGGAAAGAGAGATTACTTACATAAGACTAGTGTATTTGTGAATGAAGCCTAAAGATTTATTTATAAACTTCTTGGTGTCTTTTCTAAAAAGTCACGAAAGTCACAGCCCTCCAAAGCCTCCAAATAGTTCCCCTTTCTGTAAAAGGCATTACCATTTTAAAGAGGTGTCTTTTGGTTAATAGTCACAATCTTTTAAATAGATGTTTTTCTTAATAGTCATAATTATTCAAATAGTTACTTTTTTTAACTATTTAAAATAAATCAATTATTCAGTCAAATAAAAGTAAATAAAGTCTTAACAATTGCTCACTTTAATTGTATAATTGTGAGTATGTCTCAATCAGAATATGTCATTTTGAATACAAGAGGGGGTTTTTTTAACTTCAACCTTTAATTGGTATAAGTACATCAAAATTTTATCAAATTCATTGGTTGCCTTAGCGTTAAACCAAGTATTTTATGCGGTAAAACCGAAAATACCATACACAAACTAACATAATCTTCATATAGATTTCAACATATGCTGCTTAGCATTATTATGACAATGTGCTACTCCTGGTTTCATGAATATTTAAAAGAATAAACCCGAAACTTTTGTTAGAAGTGGCACCACTTCTATATTCATATATGTGAATTATTTTACAATTATTGTCCCCGCTACTATAGACATTTGTAAAATTTAATTCCATTATGAGCACATACTCATTTTCTATTTATCGTAATAGATAACACTAAATTCCAATTATGACTTAATATAAATTTTAGTGATTTCTTAGTCAAATAGCAATAACTTATGTTTACCTTTAAACCTTAGAACTAATTTTTGCTAAAACAAGGTTGAGTTATTGTTACTGGTGACTATTAAGAAAAAATGGTTTCAGTCCCATTTGAGTTGATGTAACTCTTAGCAACTCTCTTGACAATCCTTTCCTTAAAGGATCTGCTAAATTATTGCTAGACCTTAAATAGATAATGGTTACAACACTATCCATTATTATTAACTGTCTAGCATATTCATGTCTTAAACTAATATATCTAGATTTATCATTATATATTTTTCTATGTGCTCTAGATATAGTTGTTTCACTATCACAGTGCAAGGAAATAGTTCATGTTAGTTGAGAGCATAACTTGATATCTAACATTAAATTTCTCAACCATTGAGCTTTCTTGCCAATAGTCACTAAGTCATTAAATTTCAGTTGCCCCATGCTTTACTATAATTCTTTGTTAACTTAACATTTGAATCATAAGGCGTATTAACATCATTTATTCAAAGATATTTACATTTAAGCAACAATTTTTCAATGTAATGAGACTGGCTCAAAGCATATCCAACACTATGCTTTTTAACTTTTATGCCCAAGATAGTATTCACTTCATTAAAATATTTTATCTTAAATTGAGAAATTAGATACTTGTTAGTCTTGAGTACACATTATAATTTGGTCCAAAATATTAACAAGTCATCAACATATAGAGTTATGATCACACCATAATTCTTTGCCAATTTTGAATAAATACATTTATTAGCACAATTATGAGTGAAACTATTAGACAAAATTGCATAATCAAATTTTATATGCCTTCCTTTTAAGAAAACCCTTTGGCTACTAATATAGCCTTGAACGTTTGTAAAGTTCCATCCATATTATATTTCTTTCTAAATACCCACTTACATCCGATAGGTTTTGACCTTTGATGCAAGTCCACTAGAACCCAAGTATTATTAGACAATATTGAGTCCATTTCATCATTAATAGCCTTTTTCCAAACAACTACACTACATGGCTATAGCTCCCATGTAGTACCTAACCCCTAGGCTCATATACCAAATATGTACTGCCCCAAAATTCACATTTAAAGGCCTTAACTATCTATACAACATCTAATCATGAGAGCATCTAAAATAATCTTTAAATAAATCAATATCAATGATTAACAACATCTAACTATGCAAAATTCCAAATGAACTCAAAACTCTTGAGGTTTACATCCAAAATCAAAATAATAAACTTTCCACTAGCTAACAAAAGAAATATTCCAAAACATTATTCTAATCCATCAGAGTAAAGTAATAATAAAATAAAGAGAACTTATCAAAGCCTCCAAGTCTAGATCCACATCTGAATCCCCACATACTTGCTCACTTAGCACAAGTTCCTCAATACCTAAATCTTAAAAATAGGTTTATAATGTAGGATGAGCAATAAGCCCAGTAGGACATCTTCAGAAGCAGAAACAAGGTTTCAAAAAAAAATTATAATAGGTAGGTCTTATTTGATAAAGTAATATATCATAATTTGAAGTAACACTAGGACTATTAATGAAATCTCAAGTTTATGGTACCAACAGTAAAGTTATGAGAGAAGAAGGAACAATTCTCAAAACAATAATTGATAATCACAAGTATATCTCATGTACGTAGGTAGACTAGCATAAATACACAAACATTGAGAATATTTTGACCCACACACACGCACACCATCATGGGTGGCAAACGTGTGTCGTGCTCGTGTGACCCCAAATGTCGTGTTATTCATGTCGAGTCATTGTTATTCGTGACGTGTTCGTGTCAAGACTCATGAAAAAAAATCTATTTAGTGTGTTCTGAGTATTAAACATTAGTCTAGATTATTTATTATGCGTATTTGATAATCGTGTCAATTTTTTAATCGTTCCTGTCGGATTCGTGTAGGGTTCATATCAACGGGTTAGAGTTGACACCCTTAGGCATCATCCAATCAATCATCGCAAGAATATACTACTTTAGGAAGGGCGTACATCGACGCATTGGTAGTGACGAATACAACTCAAGAATAGTATACTTGCCCTCGACCTCGATCCCGGACCTGATTTAAATCATTCACTAAAGTATAAGCGGTCATATTGTAATATTACTCGGTTAAGTCCAAGGTTGAACCCATAAGGAGCTAATTGTTGGTATTCAAAGCAGAAAATGTAAGATTGTTGTGTGCGTTGTGTGCAATGGAATAGCTTGTGGTGTGAGTTTAGATTTATCAAATAAACACTTAACTAAACTTTGAATGACAATGATAAAAATGTACTCTTTAGTTTGAGGATCCAACAAGCATTATACTGCTTGTTTATAAAAATGCCTCCTTACAGTAATTAATTTCCATTTTGTTGGAAAGTTAACCGATAGGTTTGATGTATAACTGAACCATATCACAACAACTAGTTTAAGTTAGCCGGAAGGTCTATGTACCATGTAACAACCAGATAACTCTAGTAAACCTGAAAGTGAACCATTCAAAAGGTTTACACTAGCTATTTAATCGGCAGGTCGACGATTTAACGAAGATGGAGTTCCTGTTTATGCATTGAATCGAAAGTATTGGCTATGGTGAGATTTAACCCATCTATAACCAATCTCCAAATTATTACATAAAACCCAATTGCATGCATCATTGAATCATGCATAACGTATGTAATAACTTATAGATCGAATGGTCTATATCAATAAGTTTCGCTCAGTGTTCATAACCATAAGCATATTATAATAATAACCATCCATCAATTAAGGGAAGTATAAATATTAACGCATAAATAAAACATTGACATTTTCATAACTTGAAGTATATGACACATGCATTCAACCCTTCACCAAAAAGTATAAACGGATTCCTCATGTTTCATTGCTATAGACGAGTAAGAAGAATGAGAAGATCACATTACAACAGAATACAAAATAGAACAAGTCCTTCCCCAAGGAATAGTTGAAACATTGCCACTCTTATTACTAGCTAGGGTATAAAAGTGAGAGAGGTTCAACCTTCCAAGTAAAAAAGATAAACATAAATGTAGAAGTAGAGAAATTCTTTGCTGAAAAGTGATTAGGGCAGGACTTTGCTATTTCTGACTGTAAAACTCTCTCTAAAGTCTCTTTTTCTTTCTTCCCTTTGTTCCTCTGACCTAGACTAAACTCCTTGAAACTGAACTGAAATAGTCTATTTATAGGCACCGGAAGGAGGGTAGAGGTGGCAGACACCCAAGCTGGCCAATTACATAATTTTGTTGCACAAATGGACCAATGAGAGAAGAAGGAGGAAGGCGGTTGGAGTACTGTCCGGACGCCACCACCACCGTTCGGATGGTAAAGATTCTCTGGTTTCCTTTCTTGGCAACCTCCTTTTGTTAACTCTTTGACTTGTGAATTATACTTGCCTTCCCTCTCTTTTCTAGCCTCTTCACTTTTATCCTCTTCAACTTGCGTAATTATCCTTAAAACCCTACAAAAATAGATAAATTACACATTAACCATAATACTTTATAAATCAATCATTTTAATTCAATTAACAGACACTATTAATCCTAAACTCCATTTCAATTACACACTTTTTAGGGTCAATCAATCCCTATGAGCAAATAGTGCTAATTATTGAACCTCGCAAGGAACCAATAATTCCACTATGAGTGATAGGGAACCTTCAAACCCCTTAAGGTAAGAAACACATCTATGCATTTTACAATATTAAGTTGAATGTAACCCACGTTTATCACACCCACCAATACAAAAGATAATTTCCATCATATCCACATAAAATTAAGAATCATGGTTCCACGATTGCTAAAATAAAATAATTTCAAGAAAACATGCAAGAGATCCCCAAGAAACATTTTTGAATTGATAATAATAAAGAACTAGGGTTCCTGAAATCAAGAACATAGATTTTTGGTGTAAAATGTGTAATTATTCTAACAAACAGATCATATTATTAAAAAGAGTA